GCCAACTCTTGGGCTACTCTTTTACCAACGAATAGTGGGATTGACCGTCACATTATAACGCCCCCACGGCTGAAAGGGCGAGAGTAAGAGAGGGTACAGAGAGTTTGATTTCATTCCCCACTTTATAACAATCTAAATTTCCACTGATTATTCTGTACACTCATAGAAATAAATGTATCAAGTAACTGAATAAGAATCTCAAAGTAATAAAACAGCGTAGTTGTATAATAAAAAATATATATTTTATTATTTAAAAGCCAAATTACCGTTTACGAATGTTAATATTTCATTGTAACTTTTTGTTTGTTTGTTTGAAGTTAAACGTAAAACTATACAGTGGACTATCTGTGCACTGCTCACCACAGGTATCGAAACCCGGTTTCTAGCGTTGGATGTCCGCAGACATGCCGCTGTGCCGCTGGTGGCGGGCTTCATTGTAACGGAAACAATTTCATAAACTTATGAAAGGAAGATTTTTAGGTTAAACTTCTGTAATATAAAATGCAACTGAAATAAATAATGATATCAGTGATAACGAGATTACAAACAATTATTCGAAGATCATAATAAAGAAACTCGTTTCAAGATGACATTTTTATGCACTTCACTGCAACTGTGGCGAACTTTGATGTACTATAATTAAGATAAAGTTATAATCAAAGACATATTTTGTTGTCTTACAAAATTTGTAGTGCATACTGAAGGGATTTACACATTTTGATAATAAAGTTAAAAAAACGACCTTTACACTCTAGAAAATTATAAGAGAACCGCGAAGGTGAAACGAGTGAAAAGGTCGTTTTTTTCTAACTTTATTATCATCATAGACATGTGAAATGATACTTATAAATCATTTTAACGACTAGGTTCTGTAGTTGCTATTTTTATCGAATTTCTCATTATTGGGTTTAAAGTTGTGTTTTTTATAGAAATTCCGAAAAAAAACCGCAATAAACTTTTTTGTTTGTTTGTTGTTAAGCACAAAGCTACAGAATGTGCTATTTGTGCTGTGCCCACCACGGGTATCGAAACCTGTTTTGTAGCATTATAAGCCCTCAGATTTACCGCTGACTCAAGGGGGGGGGGGTTATTGGTCTATAAATAACTTAATTCCTTAAAGTTAAATGTCGTGACCACCAGGTTATACATGAATACCATTTCAGAACTGATGAGCTAATTTTTTGTATGCTTTCTCACGATGGGCTTATTTAATTTTGAAACGTTTGTTTCAATCGTGTTGGCAATGCGAAGTTACATGTGTATATTCTGCAATAGAGTGAAAATGAATGGAGGAACAAT